TAGAGAAGGAACAATCTTGCCCTATGAACGGACATATGAAGTGAAGATAAGGGGAATGAAGGGAGTTGCTAGACTCCAAGAAAACTAGCTCACCTTTGAAAATGCTCACGAAAAAGAACCGGGCACTATGTATGGAAGCTAGGGGTGAGAGGCACACACTGTCTTGAGTGAAAAACCTGTGAGCAAGGGGTAGGAAGCGCTGGGTGCACCTGGGGGAAAGGCACTTGTGTTATGTGTGTCCCACTTGGGGCTTGTGCTTGCATGATGGGGATATTGAGCGTCCTGCCATTTGGAAGGAAAGGTGGGGTTTGCACCGGCCACTGGGGGTTGCCAAACATCGTTCTCTTTGCAGACTGCCGTATGTTCGTGTGCGGGGGTCAGACCACCGGGCTGTCTAACGGGAGTTTGTCACGTCGAGTGCTTATTAGCATTCTCGTCCGTGCGGTGACGGGCTTCGGATCGATTGATCTGTCGGGCGGGGTGTGAAACGTTCCTCAGGCGAGGCCTAGCCTGTGGACTAGCGGAGGGAGCGCCACTGCATGGGGGCAAAGACGGAGCCTGGGAGGCGATCAATAGCTTCTCGTAGCCTGGTTTGGAAAAAGGTTGTTCCTTATCGGACCAATGGAAGTGAGTGCCTAGAGGGCTGGCTCCAATGGCCCTACCGAGATGTGTGGGGTGATTCCCGAGATTAACGGTGGGTACACGAGCGGCAAGTCGGGATGGGGTATTCTGGGCAAGAAGGTGAGGGCGACCCCCCACTGGAGTCTGGGTACCGCGCTCGCGACGGTTCAGCTGTGCTTAAGGTATGGTGTAAAGCCCTGCCGATAGTAACAGTGGAGAGACCATTTCCGGGGAAAAGGTCGGTGAGGAGATGACCGACCTGTGTGCGACGTTTGCCTGAGTTTTGCTTTTTGTGCCTCCCTCTGTAAAGTTGCCTGATGAATGTTGGGTGGGGACCGAGTTTCTAGTCTATTCTCAACCCCTGCCTAAGTCTGCACGAGTGAGAGAACATGAGGAAGAGGCTGGCTAGGAGTCGGAAGAAAGTGGAACCAAGAAAAGAGGAATGCGCGTGGCTGGTGATCGATTGGGGTATGGTAGGGGAATGGCGCCTGGAAAAGGATAGGAAAGGTTAGGGAGACCCGGATGAGGGGTCTGAAAACAACTCTCATCTAGAAAAGGAAAAGCAAACCATCTGACCATGAGGGGCCGTGTGGTGCTCTCATGTGGAAAACAGGACAAGCGTCGGGAAACAAGATGGCGCGATGGTTGTCGCCTCCTGTCTACTCTAGTGGTCCGGAAATGCCTATAGAGGTTAGGGATGGGGTATCTGTTGTTCTCCCGGAAGAAGGGACGTAGACCGACCTAGAACCGGCCTATGAAACCGTGATGCTGGACGAGAAGGGCGCGTTCCTCTGGATAGAGACAATCTGGACTAAGGTCAGCTTGACGAGACTCTCACCTAGCTTGATCGACCTAGAATTCCGAGGAACAGTGGAAGCTCAAGGGTGGGTCTACCTGTCACAAGAATTGGAAAATGCAATGGTAGTGGGACTAGTATTGGGCAGGGCACCGGATCAGCTGTTTAGGCAAGCGGAACGGGAAGTGGTATGGGTAGCATGTCAGCGGGCAGAAATGGAGATGGAAAGGATGGAGGTGCGAGTGGAACTCGGGGACCGGAAAAATATGAGCAATGAATGGAAGGGGACCACATGTGATTGGCGGGGGTATGAGATTGTGTCGGAACTATCGTGTACCTATGGATAGAGCGCATCTGGAACCCGTTAAGGGAAGAGGAAGGATGGGAAGAGATTGCGGAAGAAAGGGTGGAGTCGGTTGGGACGATCGTCCTCTCTGAACAAGGTTGGCACTTGTTTTGCACAACGCTCGCGACAGGACAAAACCCAATGTGGCTTTTAGGGGACGCTGAGGCAAGGGCTCGGCAGGCGGGAGAAAGGTTTGCTAACAAAGGTTGGGATATGGTCAGCAGTAGAGTCGTGATGGGAGAATGGAAGGAAGTTAAACCGCGCGACGCCCGAATCAAGACCTGGGTGCCCGAATTCGTGGCGGACTCGTTTGGGGGTTTTGATCACGTAACAGAGGTAGCCGACAAGATGGAGCGAATACACGTGAACTGCACATGGCTGGCAGAGGAGTTCTATAGGACGTCCTTGAAATACGGCCCCCTCCATGGCGATAGAGCCCGGGAGGTCCTTATCATTTTGGATATCGAAAGGAATGACCGGCAGGAGGTGGCCCCGGAAACTAGGGAGGCCATAATCCGCCGTGAGGTAGCGGCAACACCTTGTTATGTGGATGATGTGTTCAAACTGTTCGAAGTACTGTGGTTCGACTTAACGCAGGAAAGTCGTGGGGCCAGGCAAATAGGGGGAAAAATTGCTAAGATAAGGGAATGGGATGTCTGGCCATTGTAGTGTTCAGTGCGGATTGCGAGCCAGGAGATCAAAGGCGAGTGTGTGATGGTGCGAAGAAGGACGTTCCTCGAGGAACGCCCCTTGGGCATTGAACTGCCTAGGGAAGTACTGGGTGGGGTAGAGGTTAGCTTGCCGGCGGCAAGTGAAGGCTGGCACCAGGTGGCAGATTGGGTCGGGGTCGAGCTTGCGGAAAATATGGTCCACTTGGTGACGAAAGTTGAGTGGCGTGCGGATGAGAATGGGGAATGGAACCCGGACCCGCGGGGGCATGTGCGTGCAAAAGGACGGCTGTATGTGTCAGAGGATGGGTGGAGGGAGTTCGAAGTTCGGCTGGCATCAGGAGAAGACCCGTTGAGCATGTTTGAAGGGGCATGGCAGTTAGTATGGCGAGCGGGGTTTGAGTTCGCAGATCCGGGGGTATGACGATGTAACAGCGGACCTTAGGGTAGCCATGGTCGGGAGTTTTGAATTGCCTAGTGAAAATGTACGAATGAGGCTGCCGCCCTTCCTGCTGGAAAGGCTGGGCGGTCTGGGACTTGTTAGACGAGCGGTAGTCGACCTCGCAAACCTGACATATGAAGATGCGATGGTACATCGAGAATACTATCGGGCCTTCCTAGAAATGGGCCCGTTCAGTGGAGAACAGAAGTACGAGGTGCTGCGCATCCTGCGAGCTGTGTTTAGCACCAGGCCGAGGGCTCCGGTCGTGGGAAGTGAGGTTCTGTGGGGTGTCATCCGACGGGAAATAAGTCAAGGGATGGTGTACGTGGATGATCTGTACCGATTGTATGAGCCGATGGACGTAGGGACGGACCAATAAAAGAGGTCAAGGAAAGAAAAGGAAGGTTGAAGCTAGAAACCGGGGAGTGTTCGAGCGGGAGCTGAAGATTAAATGAAATAAGTTAAACCGCTTGCTGTTTAAACTGTGCAGGGGACTACTAAGTCAAAAATAGCGATGAGACGCGCTCGGATGATGCGACGGTCCACACACCCGCGGCCACCCACTGAAAGTGGAGGCGGATGGGAGGTATCGCTCCCAGCAAGCTATATGATCCGAGGATTGGACATCGAATGGAGGGCCGTGACCTTGGGAAGAGGTCAGGCGTTAATGATGGTGGAATGTTTGTGGGATGGTATGAGAATTAACAGGGGACCGGGAGACGATCTGTGTACCGATCTTAGGGTAACGGGGACCATATAGCTGCCGGAACTTGGATGGTGCATGCTAGGAACGGAATTGGCACTAGGTCACGGGTTGCTACCAATCTTCCAGAGGGCCGCTAGGATGTTGAACAGGGTGGGCCAGGAAGTGCGGGGGAGAAGAAACGTGGGATTAAGAACTCGGGTGGAGGTCGGAGGCTAGCGAGAGTTTAAGGCCCCAATGACCGGGTTGAGGTGTCGAGTACCTCGTTTCATGGTGGACTTGGTATTCGGTAGCCTCAAGAGAGCTAGGGACCTGGTGGATTCGGCCCTGGTCTGGATCCACCTCTTCCGGCCACAAACAACGAGCATGTTTTACGATGTGTCGGTCAGACATGGGCCGTTCTGGGGAAATCAGGCCTGGGAACTACTCGAATTACTCGAGATCTTGATATTCGGATTGCCCCACCTGTCATTTGAAGAGTATGAACCAATAATCGTTAGGGAAATAGAGATGGGAGAAAACTACCTTGCTGGGGTGGCCGACGTGTTCGAAGAAGCGGATGAGCAAGGCAGGCCTGAGGGACCGGCGTGAGAGAACGCGTCAGAAAGAAATAGGGAAATTAAGGATGGGTACTAAGATAAGTAGGCGGCCATCAGTGAATAGAGGGGGTAGTGGTTGGAGTTCCGTCCGACCCGATAGCGCGGCAAGGAGGACCTAGGAAGACCACCCGCACCAGAAAACTCTGAGGCATTTGGAGGTCGAAAAGCCAAAAGGGCCATCCTCGATAAGGAGGCCACTAGGCTCAAACACAGCCCCAAGAGCCAAGGCGCGACAGTGATAGAATGCCAAGCAGCGGCAGCAAGTCCCCCACTGGGCTCTATAATACTATCGCAAGTGGGCCAAAAAGCATCCTGGCTGTCCCGGAGGTAACTATACTGGGATTTCGCTGTGGGGCCTATGGAAGAAGACCCGACCCAGCAAAGACAAATAAGATCTCTCAGTGGCCGACACCCCTGCGTACCACGACGGAAGTACGAACCTTCCTAGGGGTGGTTGGATTCTGGAGGATCTTCATCAAAAGTTTCGCAAAGATAGCAGAACCTATCCGCGCGATGATTAGGGAAGGTGGCACTATGGATTGGACCGAGGATAGGGAAGAGGCAGCCCAGACCCTGAAAGACATCCTGTCGTCCGATCAGGTTATCTTAGCAGCACCGTGCTTCAATGACGAAGTAGGACGGCCCTTCATCCTAGAAACAGATGGGGGACCGCAGGCAGTTGGAGGAGTATTGATACAGAGAAGCGAGGAGGGCAAGGAAAGGCCAATCAGATTTGAAAGTAGGACCCTGAATTGGGCAGAACAGCGATACTCACAGTTCAAGAAGGAGGTCTTAGCGATTCTGCATTGTCTTAAGACCTTCCAGGCAGGCATACCTGTTCGGAAGGCGATTTATCGTAAGGATCGATCCCACCAACGTTGTCGGGGCCCTAAAGAACTACAAGCCTATAGATCCGGCCGTCGGCAGATGGATAGGCTTCATATGGCAGTTCAACTACAAGGTCGAGCGGATCGCAGGACTTCGAAACAGGGCGGATGGGTTAAGTAGGGTATGCATCACGCCGGAGGGAATAGAGGACGCGGAACCAATTGACGCCTTTCTAGATTACGAAGGGGGGACCCTTGTTGTGGATAACGAAATGGCCGACTCAACGCTTACAACAGGCCAGCTGCTGATTCAGACCTTGAGAAAGGGCACGCCCACAGTAGTTGCAGAACTCAGGGAAGGACCAGTCACCACGGTCAGGCGCAAAGAGGAAAAGGACTCGTGGGGAGCAGAAGTAGGGGCCAGAGAGGAACTGATGGCAATAACTGTCGAAGGGGGTCGGGACGCCGTGATGACGTTGGCTGAAGCCTGGGCACAAAAGGAATGTCAGTATCTAGTCAACCTCACTCGGGAGGAGCAGAGTACGAATCAGAAGGAACATGAGTTCTTCCTCATACAGATGTGCGAGGGCGTCTTCAAAGAAATCGGTCTGATGCTTGTAGGGAACAAACAACCCACGGAAGTCAGTCCCAAGGCAAGGGAGGAAGTAGAAAAGTATGTCCTAAGAAATGACCATCTGTTCAAGAAAGAGGAAGGGATGACACCTAGACGCRTCATTTGTGGGAGGTCTAGGCAGCTGGACGTAATTCAGGCGATGCATGATGGGCTAACTGGAGGTCACCGGTCGTCTAAAGGAACACTTGTGAAAATCGTGCCCCTGTACTTTTGGCCAGGGATGGCAGGCATGGTCACAACGTATTGTCAAACGTCTTTGATATGTCAAGAAAGGAGCACCGTACGAGTTTACGAGCCCCTTAGACCCACCCGGGTACTGGGACCCGGGCACCTTGTTCACCTCGACCTTGCCGTTATGCTCGTATCAACGGATGGGTTTAGATACATCTTGTATGCAAGGGATAATCTCAGTGGCTATGTAGAAGCCGTAGCCCTCAAGAAGAAGACAGGGAAAGAAGTGACCGACTGGGTGGAAGATTTCTACCTAAGGCACCCCTTCGTGCGGAGGTTATAGCAGACAATGGGACATAATTCGTTAACCAGGAAGTGTTGAACAAGCTTAAGACACTGTGTGTACCGATCAAGATCACCGAGCCCTACCATCCTGAGGCAAATGCACCAGTAGAAAGGGGTCACTGAACTTTGAAGAACACAATCGCAAAGTTGGCAGCAGATAATTTGAGAAGTTGGCCACGGTTTCTCAAGCAGGCAGTCTTCGCCGAGAACATGACTCCAAAAAGAACAATGGGGTGTATTCCAGCAGAACTCTGGTATGGAAGGGAGATTGATTTTTCGATAGAAGCTTTGGTCCCTACCTGGAACAGGCTAGATGACGACCCACACTTGAGCACGGAAGAGTTAATCACCACACGTTGTCAGCAGGTCGCCAGAAATGAGGAGGCACTCGAGGAAGTAGTCAATCGTGTGACGAACAGCCGAATGAGGGATAAAGCAAGATGGGACCAGGTCAAAAACATTCGGAAGGAGCCACTCCTGGTGGGGGAAAAGGTGCTAGTTAGGAACTCGACTCTTGAAAGCACATGGTCCGGGCAGCTGGGAAAAAGATTCAAAGGGCCTTACAGGATCGCTAAGCGGGTGGGACTGAACACATTTGAACTTGAGGATCTCGATGGTACTAGCATAAGAGGGCCATTTCCGGGACAGAGACTGGTCAGATTTTTTAGCAGGGATCCGGTGGAACAGTGGCTACAAGAGGCCCAGGACAGGGAAACTGGGGAACTGACAGCCTGGAAGGCAGGCAACTGGCTATAAGTTATGGACTGCCTCCTTGTGGAAGTGATCATGACCACAGGGATTGTTCGTTTGTGTGTCTTGACTTTTGTGGAACGTGGGGAGACTGCCTGGGCTGACTGTGACTAGGCTTGGGAGCACGGGACAGTGTGTTATAGTTTTTGTGGGGTAACGCTGGGGACTGTCTACACGAGGTACTTATGTGTTGGGACAATGTACCATAGTTTTTTTTGGGGGGGTGATGCTGTGGACTGCCTACATGGGGCACCTATGTGTCGGGACAATGTGTCAAGGGTTCAAAGGGATAATGGGGCTACCAACTATATGGGGGCAGTCAAGAGTTTTAGGGAAGCCTCCAGAGCCGCAAATGGGAGTGGAAGGGAATGCGTGTGTATGAGGGGTACCGTGACTGTTATGTATGGACAGGGCCAGGCAAGAAGAAGAAAGACAGCAAGAAAAACAATGGAGTTTGGGAATGAAAATGACAGCAATGCAATGAACAGGCCGGAAGAGGGACAGTCGTCAAGGCAAGCTGGAGAGTCAAGCTCCAGGAAAAGGAAGTTGTATGTGGGGTTTGATCACAACCTAGTTGTGAACAGGGGGGGCAGAAAGCAAGGAACCAGGGGGCCATCGCCACCAAGGGAAGGGGAGCCAATAGTCCTCCCATCGGGAAGTGACACCAGCACTGAGGAAGAGAGGAACCCGGGGAAAAGGCCAAGGTTGGAGGAGGACGTGCCCGTGGAATTTATCGACCTCACCAGTGACGAGGAGGAAGATGAGGTAACAACGCCCACAAGGGAAGAACGGGGAAGAGGGGAGCAGCCGGGTGAGAAAAAGGACAAATGGATAGAGGAATTCGGACCCGAGTTCAGCGATTGGTTTGATCAATGGGGCACTATCTTGAGATATCAGTGGATTATGAAGGCAAGGGAAAAGTTGGGCAGGGGAAAGGATCTATTCCCAACAACCTTCTTCACAGAACGGACACTCCTCCAGTTCCAAGGAATAAAGAGTCAAATGGAGCAGGAAATGGAGGATCGCGCAAGGAGGGAGGCTCAACGCAGGCCACCTGGACGATAGAGGCACAATAGCTGTAATGAGGAATAGCTAAAAGTTGGGAGGGTTTGGTCCCTGGGCAGTCAGAACTGCCATTTTTGGACTTCACATTTTAACTCTTTTTGTGAATGCATCTTCTAAGCTCGAAGCGACTAAGGACTGGGTAGTCAGCGCTACTTCGTACGAATGGTTGCTTCTTCAGGGAAAGGCATGAGGGTTTTGCACTTAGAATAGAATTCTGGATGGTTGGGTAGATTAAGGGAAAGAAAAAGGGGAAACAGTGGGGATCTAGACGAAGACGAGTCGGTAATGTTGTCTTTGCATTCGAACTTTGTCTCCTTATTTTTCCTTGTATGGACTGCAATGAAACTACTTTTTGGATTGAGGGAGCTAGTAAAGGGTGGGTGATCAGGGCTACTTTGTATAAGTACTCGCTCCGTTTGGGAAATATGAGCTTTTGGGTAGTAAGAAAGGGATGGGGGGGGTTGTTTGACTTTATGAGCAGTGGCATGTGAACTCTTGAACGTTGGAAGAAACATTCATGCATTGAGAAGCATATGAGAAGTCAGAAAAGTGGCAGGGAAACATTGAAATGATACAACACCCCTTGCAATGGTTGAACGGCCGGGCGGGCTAGTGATGCTTGGGGCCGCGAGCCTCAACTTGAGTACTAGACGCTAAGTCGGATGTATGGATGGATGTAAGAATGACAAAAGACATGAGGAAAAGGAAGAAGCATGCGTAAAAACCCAAGACGATGGCCGCCCTCTAACTCCCGAAACGAGATAGGATCCGTGTCCTCGAGGCCCACCCCCTCGGACGCTAACATTGCAATGGACAAGGGTGGCCCTAACCAGGCTGTTCAATTGAAATGGACAAGGATGGCCCTAATCAGGCTACCCAATTAAAATGGATAAGGATGGTCCTAACCAGGCTGTCCGATTGCAATGGATAAGAATGACCCTAACTAGGCTGGTTGACTTGGAAATGGAAAGAACGACCCTAATCAGGTTGTTCGGAATGGCCCCTGACAAGGGTCATTCTTTGGAATTGGCACTAGGGTCCCCTTGCATGGCTGCTTGAGATGCATGACATTGGAAGAGTTGAGCCTTGGAAACGACATTGGAAGAGATATTGGACTTAGCCTTGGAAGAGATATTGCATTAAGCATCGGACTGAGAATGAGTACTGGACTGAGATTGAGCATGGGAATGAGACTGAGCATTGAAACTGGATTGAGTATGGGAAATTGCATTGCATAAACAGTGGACCCTAGGCAACTTGAAATGGACTTGGAAAGAGCTTTGAAATGAAATTTCTCTTTTTCTTCTAGTCTTTGGCCTCAGCAAGAGGGGGGTGCATGCACCGCGACCCCAAGACCTCTATCCCTTTGAGGGAAAAAGTCTCAGCTCGACCTGTCCCTCTTCGAGAGGGTGAGGGTTAAAGGACTAAGGCACCTACCACTTGGATCGGTGCGGGACGTCCGGAACCACCTCCGACAATGAGCTCTAGTCGGGGAGTTCCAACTGCGTCTCCTGCTGAACGCCTAAACGTCAAAGGGCGAGAGAGCCAAATGGGCAGGAAAGTTATTCTCATCTAGTCTATTTTGCTACTCTCCAACCACACGCCACGTCATAGAGGGGTGGCATGGCTGTTTGGGTCGGACCACGGCTGCCCGCGCTTAGTTAGGCAGCACTGTTCAAGGGGAGAGGTCGGGCGAGGTACCGGGTGGAGTCCACCACCACCACGGGGCATTGACACTGTCGTGCCGGAACATTACAACCGTTTCGGGACTAATTGCGAGGTCTTCGTAACTGCACTCGCGGACTGACCGAGAGCCCCAACTCTCTTGAAAGAAAGAGGCCGGAATCCAGAAAATTACCACTCGGGAGGAACGATTCGCGAGGAACGCTCTTACGGCTAGACGAGGCCCTGGTAGGCTTGGATTGGACCCGCTTGGCAGACGTGGGGAGCTCGGTATTGGTGCTCGCCACGTAAGAGAAGAAAGGTCGGACCGGGTAGAAGGATGAGGCGTCGTCCGCTGGGGAGGAACTGATCACTCTTCCCTTTGTGAAGCGGACGGGCTTGTGTCCTTGTCTTGCGGTTGGTGGGCCAAAGGTCTGCGTACCTCCGAGTGAGGGGAAGGTGTGGCATCTACCAATGAATACGCATGAAAACAAGACTTGTAATTGATTTTGCATGGGCTTGGAAAAAAGGGGTCTGTCAAGATGGCCGGAACAGAAAAAGATTGTAATTGACTTTGTATAGGCATGAGAAAATGGGGCCGGGCAAGACGTCATCGCAGAAAGGACTTGAGCAAGTGACATGGTAGGAACAAGAACTGGCAGACTGAGAGTTGGCTGTGTAACCGGCTCGTATAAGCTTGAAAAGATGAGAAGTGGCTAAGAGGTGAACCAAGCATTGCACATGAAAAGTCAATTAAGAAAAGGGTGAAAAAGGGTAGAGGATGATACGCATGCGGAATTGGAAGGACCTGAGATAGGCCGGGAGGAATGACCCGGGAAGAATGCATGTGGATTTTACTATGTCTGAGCTTCGGGGAGAGGAAAAATTGTATTGAAAAGGAGTGGATGTCCCAAGAATAATGAATGAGACGAAACCAAAATGATTTCTGCTCAAGAATGTTTTCTCAATGAAATGGGAAGATAGATTTGAGATTACGAATGCAGCCTTCACGACATTGTCGAGAGCGAGAAATAACGTACAATGAAAAACTAGCTGCAGGGCATGTTTGTGGTCAGGCCCTTCCAAGGGGCGATGCTAGCTGACTTGATGAGGGAAAGAGACACCAAGCCGCTTAAGCTCCTTGACGTGTTGCTAGCTCGCACCTGGAGGAAGCGATGGCGAATGATCCTTGTAACATCCGTCGCCAGAATCTCCCTTTTACCTCGGTCCCTAGGGAGGGTGATGGGCGCGTCGTCCTCTCTCTTGTGGAAACGATACGGGAGGTTGTGGGGAAGCTCTTGGGTATTCGGGAGCTCCAGTGAGAAAGAGATACAGCTGTGAGACGGACGTTGATGCACAGAGAGTGTCACGCACTCGTTACAAAGACATTATTGAACTTGGGGACGTTACGCAATTCAAAGGAAACCCGAAACAAAACCTTGACCCCTCCATACCCTCCCCCGCCCCAAGGGCGGAAACTTAAAGAAGGACCCGAGAAAAGAGTGGGAAAGACAAAAAGAACCCTGGCAAGCTAACTACCCATCCCACCCCACCTCCCTTCCCTATCTGTCTATCACTCCAAAATTCCTACTGACCATGGATTGGTGCGCGATGAGGACATAGCCAATGAGTGGGAGGAATATGTCAGAACTGGTGAGTCCCGAATGACTTTCCGTCACTCGAGAGACTGTATATGACCAAATTGTGCAAGACAGAGAAAACTAGAGGCAGGAATGCTGGAAAGAGCGGAAGCATGGGCACGGACAGTAGGAAGCCAGAGGCTGCCCAGAGTCGTTGGGGCCGCCAGACTAGAAATGGGTTGGCTAAGCAGAAAGCGGCAAAAGGATTGTGAGAGAATAGCAGGGGCGACTCCTTCCCCAAGGACGGAGAAGGACCGCCGGGAAGTCGGTAGCAACATAGGAGGTGCGCAGCAAGGGAAGGAAGGAAGTGGGAAGGGACAGGGCGCAAGGCGCTGACGCGACAGGTGGGGCAGGAGTGTCGGGGACCACAGGGGATCGAAGGACGG